ACCTAGGCTACTTCTTCCCCACCCTTGTTTTTATATCAAAAGGGGAGATTCTGGCCTACCTAGGCTACTTCTTCCCCACCCTTGTTTTTATATCAAAGGGGAGATTCTGGCCTACCTAGGCTACTTCTTCCCCACCCTTGTTTTTTTATATCAAAAGGGAGATTCTGGCCTACCTAGGCTACTTCTTCCCCACCCTTGTTTTTATATCAAAAGGGGGAGATTCTGGCCTACCTAGGCTACTTCTTCCCCACCCTTGTTTTATATCAAAAGGGGGAGATTCTGGCCTACCTAGGCTACTTCTTCCCCACCCTTGTTTTTATATCAAAAGGGGAGATTCTGGCCTAGCTAGGCTACTTCTTCCCACCCTTGTTCTTATATCAAAAGGGGAGATTCTGGCCTACCTAGGCTACTTCTTCCCCACCCTTGTTTTTATATCAAAAGGGGAGATTCTGGCCTACCTAGGCTACTTCTTCCCACACCCTTGTTTTTATATCAAAAGGGGGAGATTCTGGCCTACCTAGGCTACTTCTTCCCACCCTTGTTTTTATATCAAAAGGGGAGATTCTGGCCTACCTAGGCTACTTCTTCCACACCCTTGTTTTATATCAAAAGGGGAGATTCTGGCCTACCTAGGCTACTTCTTCCTTTAATGCATAAAAAAAATTTGTACAATTCTGGCCTAGGCTACAGCTGCCCTACGGCCCTGCTTGCTCTTATAAACCGACAGTAGTTTTGACATATATTTTGGTACACATTTTTACCAAATAGTCCATTTTTGCCTCTGACTTGGGTGTAGTGATTTGAATGCATACATGTTTGAACGGCATATATCTCTAAATCCATCCTGCTCCTGCCGCCATTCCTATGAAGACACATTGCATTAGTTCTTCATCTGTCCAAATCATGTCACCATAAGATGTAAACATTCAATCGCACATTTGATGGGTAAATAAGATGTAATATACACAGGTTGCTTGCTCTCTTATCATGCTGTTTATTATCTAATATTTGTTATATTTTATAAATAAATGTAATGGAACATTATTCACATAAGCTTGTTTACTAATCCATAATCACTTTTGGTGAATGAAATATGATTCAGATATCCAAGGGCCAAGTATACCCCTTATCAAACCTTGTCTTTTGAATTTAGAATACCGTAAGTCAATATAGTGGAATGATAGATGATACAGCATTTGATACAGATATTGTGTTGTGTTGTTGTTGTTGTGTTGATGTTTACATCTGCTTCCAACTGTTAAATTGATGTCGCCCACGTGGATGCCATATTTAAAGCCATGAGCTTGAGGGAATAACATTTTGAATGGATATGGACATGCAAGTAAAACTGGGCATTGAGTTGAAGTTTCGAATATAGTAATGATTTTGAGATAAGCCAATCTGGAGTAAGTGGGGATAAGTAAATTATTGAAATATAAAAAATAAGTAAATGATAATATAAAACAATAGTAAAGATATAATATCTTTGCTTTTATGCTTGGTTTTCTTTTTGATCTCACCTTATAGAAGGGTATTGAAACAAAATGTGAACCATGTACATGTTATATATGAAGATGAAGATGACCTGTTAATGGAACTTGACATCCACATGAATATCTTATCAATGTGTTCATGTGAATAGCTATGTCTTGGTTTTGTTTTTGACTTCTTCAGGACGAACATAAACATGAAAACAAGGTTTGGGAACTAATAGCCTAGCTTGGCCAGAATCTCCCTCTTTGATATAAGAACAAGGGTTTGAAACAAGTAGCCTTTAAAGCTGATTCAAGGGTGGGGAAAGTTTGGCCTAGGCTAAAGGGTTATGCCCGGACTGTCGACAACAACAAATAATCCGGTCCAAATTACTTGTCGACAGTCCGGGAAAGGGAGATGATGTTCTACATGAGTGACTTCAGGCCCAGTGTTCTCGGAATTGACAAACCAATTAAAAACAGAGTGCTATATATTTAGAAGACAATATATTTATTTATTTAGTCAATATAACAACATGCATGTATCATGCATGTATCATATGTCACACAATATAACATATTTGTATATATATTTCATAAAGCTGACACAATATATTTGTGTGTGTGTTTTATATAAATAAGTGATTTCTGCAGGTGTATAAGTAATAAATATATAAAAGATAGTCCAGTTATTTCTTCTTGCCAAAACTCCTTTATATGTGCACTAAAGTAATCTGAATGTTCAGCCAAGATGAAGCAACTCTGACACATGGTCTGTGTAATTCAAGTCAGTAAGTCTGTCTGTCGGCAAGAAGGTCGCCTTCAAGGATCGAATCCTAAGCGCCGATGATTCGGTAGCTTAATGCCTACGGACCGGATCTCACTGCTGTCCTTGGATCTGCTGAATTTTTTACTTCAGTAGATGACTGTTCTTTTTGTAACATTCTGCACAACCCTCAAATACGCCTCGGATGTGTCTTCATGGCATACTTGTTGATTTTGTTGTGCCAACCTTCCAAATTATTGTTAGTTCTGTGTCCATCATTTTCAAAATGATTCCAAGTTGGTAATGGTAATCCTTCCACTTCGCATAACGTAAAATAATAGTCTGTTTTTGCAACCTTAATTCTCTTGCAAATTGTTAAAACATATTCTCTTTAATCAACTTTAATTCATTTTACTCATGATAATACGAGCATAGCTGTAGCCACCATAGCCGCTTGCAAACCACTAAGCAAACATTCTCTTTCATTAATTAACACCGCCACGGGTTTGTTGACCACGCTGATGTCGACACTCCAGGTTTTGTTTCCTATCGATGGTTAGGGACATCCTATTTTCATTTGTCCACAGATCGGGCTGACACTGGCCAAAAGTTTCCCAGGGAAGGTTTGGCCAGGGGAAAGTTTGGCCTGTTACAACGGGTACTCCCTCTAGGATTGTCTCTACTAGAATTCTCATGTTAGGCAATCAGACATGACAGGTAACCTGGATGTCATACAGTCAGCCACTAAAACAGGTGCTCCTCTAGGATTGTCTAATGACAGGTAACCTGGATGTCATTCAGTCAGCCACTAAAACAGGTGCTCCTGTAGGATTTGTCTCACTTGACAGGTAACCTGGATGTCATACAGTCAGCCACCAAAACAGGTCCCTCCCTCTAGGATTATCTCATGACTGGTAACCTGGATATCCAGGGTCAACAGCTATTTTTAATTAAGGTTTCTAATCGGGTCCAGATCCGTAACATATTGGATGTGTAAACTTTAAAATGGAAATCTCAGTTTAGAACTTTTGAAATGTTTTAGAGTCAGTGATAATTTTATACCTGCTCCAGTACCCAGTCATTGCAATTAGTTCTTATGGCTGTAAATCATTGTCAAATATAATTTCAAAAGTAGAACAACAAGTATGATAATATAAGTTGTTCACTGGTCTCGAGGTGGGGACATGGGCTGATGTACCCCTCGATGTCAGAGCCCCGAAGGGCTTAGGTGAAACATAAAGAAAAATCGAGGTACATCAACCCATGGGCCCCGAGGGACCGGGTGAACAACATATTTATCTTACCAAACACCTCAATGGTAAGTTTTGAACTGTTTGAAGCATGGGTATCAGATCATAGTGTGGATTACAAGACGACAAGAAAAACAAATTTAGAGTTATCTCCCTTTTCGCAAAACATTGGTAATTTCCGTACATCATAATGCGGATTCAATGTTATTCAAGATAAAGAATTACTACTATGAAGTACCAAATGAGTTCCGCACTCCCAGCCAGGGTACATAGAAAATGTTACTCACTTGTAAGCGAGGTACATTGAAAATAATAGAAGAACACTCAGGCAATCAAGAAAACGACATTTATGCGTGAGGCAAGATACACAGTGATGTCTTCAATGTTCATTTAGCTGAACCAACAATGTATCGGGTCTACTGCTCTTCAAGTTGTGAGTTCCATGCATGGGGATCTGGATATGAATTGGTCCTCAGTAACCTAACTATCCTGGTTTAAGAGACAGTGTAATTGATTAGATGGCACCTTGGTTTACTGTGTGTCTGTATGGGGCTTTACTCTTAATAGTAATCACTGGTTATTTACAGATAGCTGGGAAAAACTGGAATACTACTGACCTCTGCTCTCCATAACAAGCCTAACCGCAGTGTTAACCTAACAATATATTATTATTACTGTGATGGTTTCTGATGGCTGTACCTATTGTGTGGATAATGGATCTATTTAGTTGTAGTTAGACTTGAGACAGCAAAAGTAACTGTTTCAAAGGCAGATAAAGCCAGCATGGTGTGAAATGAAGTGCACATAAAATCTCCTCACTGATACAACTGTAGTTTTATAAGATTATTTCAAGATTCAAGTTTATTTCACTCCAGGAAGTTTAATGATACTGCTCTCTAATGACGAGTGAAAAGCTGCTTGTCCATATTCTGACACATGTGATTTTTTCCAGTTTACCAGTTGCCAAGGTCCGATGGTACAATTTTAATGGCTGACCAACATTCGGCCATTCTTGTTGGGTTTTTATCACACTTTAATAAGGAACAACATGAAATGCCATTTTGTGAGAAAATACTGATGTTTAATCTTTGAGGAATGCAAACATCTCCATGGTAACCATTTGTATCTGGTCAGACTGGTATTTCCAACCTTCCAAACTTCCTATCACTTTCTGATGGGTTTAATGGAATACCAAGAAGCTACTAAAACAGTGCTTGATGACAGATCCATCCAGAGCCTCATGTCAACCAGAACTACAGAAGCAGATTAATGTAGTGTTTGATGAAGATGTAGTGGACTAGATAGCTTCCTTCTTCATCGCCACCTTCCTCCTTACATTGCCTGCAAGTAGATCTATCCATCAATCGTCTGTGGGAAAGTAATGTGGTTTGTTTTGCAATGCCTGGAACGAAGTTGGTAAATGGCTACAACAGGATGACTTGTCCAGGACGGAGATGATGGGTCGCGAATATGGTTGCTGTTCAGACATTTAGACTGATCCTTTCCTTGCAGATCGAGGGTCTAGGGCTACCGGTACCCCACTGTGAACCTTCCACTCACTCCTGTGTTTTATTTTCGTAAGTAGGAACACAACGCAGGTCCCTGTCACAGTTCTTATCTCAACAGAGATGAAATCACATATAGTGATTGTTCTTGTTATAACACGCTAGCCTACTGTCACTTATGTTCAGATATATAACATGTTTTTGTTAAAGTGCATAGTGTTATGTGTGGTGTGTGTCCTTTGTGGAAATATCTTGGCATGATGACAGGGTCGCTTCCAGACATGTCTGTTTTCTGTGTTGCAGCTTTCATAACAGAAATTGTCCATTCTGTCATTGGTCGTCGCATCTACAACTTCCAGCCCTTGCTGACTAGGACAGAGGTCAGTTGGTAGATGTGAGGTGGTGTGGGGAGGCGGGTGGTGGAGTATAAGTGGATTGTTGAGTTTGTCAGTGGAGTGGGTGTGTATACCGGGAGTGTTCATTGTTGAGTTGTTGTTTTGTGGGGGTGTGTGAAGAGGTGTGTTGGTTGAATGAGTGGTTCTGGAGATTTAAGAATTGGATGATTGAATGGATTTGTAGATGGTTGAACTGGTTCACAGAGTTGAAGTGTTTAAACACAACTCATTCACTGTGACATCTCCAAGACTGAGGGCCCGTGAAGATCCGGGTAGAATTGGTCTTCAGCAACCCACGCTTGCCACAAAAGGCTGACTATGCTTGTTGTAAGAGGCGACTAACGGATCGGTGGTCAGGCTCGCTGACTTGGTTGACACATGTCATCGTTTCCAATTGCGCAGATCGATGCTCATGCTTTTGATCACTGGATTGCGGGTCCAGACTCGATTATTTACAGACCGCCATATAGCTGGAATATTGCTGAGTCGCGGTGTAAAACTAAACTCACTCACTCACTCCAAGACTGAGACTGTGCATCACTCCTCCTCACCAGGTGTACAAGACAGGAGTGACCCACACGTTCAGCATCGCGAAGGCACACAGCCAGCTGGGGTACAGCCCCACCGTGCAGAACGACATGACAGAGGTGGTGCGGTACTACCAGAAGATGGGGCGTGTCTACCACAAGCCTCGGACATCAGGGCTGCGATACAGTATCGAGAACATCATCATCGGTCTACTCATTGCGTGTCTAATTATGTCTTTATTACCAACTGTCTTTAATTAGTTTTACATGCCAGTATTATTTAGTATAAAATCCATATATTTTTAACATTTTTATCTGTCAATAATTTAATAGATAAGTACAAATGTTCCAACATGGTGTAGAAATATTCTCCTTTTGATACAGACTGGTTTAAAAGAACTTCGGCTTCACTGACATTTGACCTTGAAACATGAAGTATTGTACCTCTCATTGTCAGTTTATATATACTTATTATAACAACAGTTCCAGTAGAAATGTCTATGACAAATGGTAAACCAGAGAATGGTTTAGTCTCAGAAATGATCTTTTTTAAGTGTTTTTTTAACTTTTATTCTGTAATACATAGTTCCCAGAGAATCTCTGACAAGCTCAGTATTTTTTTTAAAGGTTTTAACAACTTTTCTGGGGTTCTTAAAGGCACAAGCTAAACCTGACAAGCATTATATAGTGGCATTTCTAGTTGTTCATGAATTGTGTCTTTTTTCTTATTTTGTATCTCAAATTTTTTCAGCTTTTGAATCACTAACCCTACAGTAAGTTATGTTCACTGCTTAGAAGTTGACCTTGACATCACTACCTCATGCAGTTTTACCAATTTTTCTATGTAGATATATATAGGTCTATAAGTCTTGGTGTGCTGAGTTGCATCCTTTATTGTCATGCCAGGATCAGCAGAATGTTGTGATACAACCAAAATACTTTTTAAAGGAGCAATAATCCAAACATAGTCCTAGGCCAAATGTTAGAAAAGTCCCTATCTGTTAGGATCTCTCAGCAGCAGTAAAAGCATTATCCAGTAATTGGTATGACAACTCCCACCTTCCAGAGATTCTTGTCAATGTGGAACTAGACACAGAATGTATCAGGTTGCTGAAAACAAACAAGGTTTACCCACGCTGTTGAAACAGTGTCCACATGTTCATAGACCAACTGCATGAGTATTAACCACATGGTTTAATGGACGATGACAAGCACTGATGTTCAACATGATCAGGATATGCAGTATGGGTGATAAGGCCTGGTGTATCATATTACCTGATAATGATGTTATCTCTACTTTTGGCTTAGGAGTAAACACTGTATATCTAAGGTACATTGTAATAGGAAGTAAGTGGTTGTCAGTATAACAGTATATACCGTCATGATTGTGATTGATGACATTGTTTGAGTTCCTTGTTTTAAGCCCCAGTCAGCAGTATTCCAACTGTCATGGCGGCCTGTAAGTCTGGGCTAGCAAACAAGTGGTTGACAGTATGAGCGATAACCCATTCTATACAGGTGTGATGGATTGCAAAGCCTGCCATCTGACCACCCGATTGCCCGACCACCTGTCTGCCCAATTGCCTGGCCATCTGACCACCCGATTGCCCACCCATCTGTCTGCCCAATTGCCTGGCCATCTGTCCATCTGATTGCCCACCCACCTGTCTGCCCAATTGCCTGGCCATCCGATTGTCCACCCACTTGTCTGCCCAATTGCCGGGCCATCTGTCCATCCGATTGCCCACCCACCTGTCTGCCCAATTGCCTGGCCATCTGTCCATCCGATTGCCCACCCACCTGTCTGCCCAATTGCCTGGCCATCTGTCCATCCGATTCCCTGACCACCTGTGTGCCCAATTGCCAACCCATCTGATTGCCCGACCACTTGTCTGCCCAATTGCCTGGCCATCTGTCCATCCGATTGCCCACCCACCTGTCTGCCCAATTGCCTGGCCATCTGTCCATCCGATTGTCCACCCACTTGTCTGCCCAATTGCCTGGCCATCTGTCCATCCGATTGCCCACCCACCTGTCTGCCCAATTGCCTGGCCATCTGTCCATCCGATTGCCCACCCACCTGTGTGCCCAATTGCCTGGCCATCTGTCCATCCGATTGCCCGACCACCTGTCTGCCCAATTGCCAGCCCATCTGATTGCCCGACCACCTGTCTGCCCAATTGCCCACCCACCTGTCTGCCCGATTGCCTGGCCATCTGTCCATCCGATTGCCCACCCACCTGTGTGCCCAATTGCCTGGCCATCTGTCCATCCGATTGTCCACCCACCTGTCTGCCCAATTGCCTGGCCATCTGTCCATCCGATTGCCCACCCACCTGTCTGCCCGATTGCCTGGCCATCTGTCCATCCGATTGCCCACCCACCTGTCTGCCCGATTGCCTGGCCATCTGGCCACCCGATTGCCCGACCACCTGTCTGCTCAATTGCCTGGCCATCTGTCCATCCGATTGCCCGACCACCTGTCTGCTCAATTGCCTGGCCATCTGTCCATCCGATTGCCTGCCAATCCAATTACCTGCCCAGGTATGAGAGCTAGGGTCTGACACTGAATCCCACCATACTGAGAAGTAAACACCAGGAGTACTAGAGCAACACCTGTGTTCATTATACTGGGTGTGGAGGATCCAGGATGACATGAGCAACATGACTTCACAGCTTCAGTGTTAAAGACATCTATATTTAGTCCTCATTATTGCTTGTTCTAAGGTGTTGAGCTCCTGTGAAAAGCCCCGTTACACGTAGTCAGCAATCCATGCTTGTCACAAATAGTGACTTGGTTGATGCATGTAATCATCTCCCAGTAATGCAGATCGATGCTCATGACGTCACCCACTGGCCTGTCTGGTCCAGTCACAGACAGCCATCTGACAGCTGGAATACTGCCTAAAGCAGTGTAAAACAACAAACCAACCATACAACAGCTTGTTTTACATGTTGAGTGAAGATAAGAATGTTCTGTCCGTTTATGTGAAGTGCATGTAATGTATGTGGGGTCCATCAGGCGTTGTGAATGCAACAAAGACATTGGATCTTACATTATCTATTTTTATGAATAATAAAGTTTACAACATTTCATTTTCCTTATCAACAAAACAAGAGAACAAACTCAGACAAACAGGGCATAAATTATCATTTATTCAGGTATGTTGTTTTAGCTTGGTTTGATCTATACAGAACAACGATCTGTGACACTTGTAAAATACACCTGTTTAACCTGAACCAAACGTTGTACATATTGGCCAACCTGATTGGTTAAAACAGATCTAACCAGCCCTGTGATTGGCTACAACTACAACAGGTCTCAGCTATCTAAAGTCATCATACAATGGTTAGTTGCCAGCAAAGCACATAAACATATCCACTCTGTTAGATAACAAATACTGTCTGGCCTATCCTGGGTTAGGGCCACACATACTGTCTGGCCTATCCAGGGTTGGGGCCACATGGTTAACACATACGTACATGCACACAGCTGTATGTTCACAGTCAGCAGAAGGGGGTGGGGAAGAAGGGCGGGGCCGAGGCGGAGCGAGACTAAAATCTATATTCTATTCTTGTGTATGATGACATTTTAAAATATACAAACCCTTCTGGAGGCCAAGGTCTCCATTATGACTCAAAACAAATTAAACAACACCTATAATTGGAAGGCTATGGTTGCAGTGTCAACCAGCCATGATGCATTCACTATAGTCATATGAAAAAATAGGATGTTCCTTAATTTCCTTTGGGTAGTATATATACAGTGTCATCACAGATAAAACAAACAATGAGTGATCTCTTGAATACAGCTGACTTCTTTGTAGAGCCCTATTGTCCTACTTGAGGCTATTGTCAACACTTCTAGTTGAATAGCGGTTTCTGTGCATAACGCAATTGTTTACATTTTTAAAAAAAGAAGATGTAGTAAAGTACTAATAAAATTCATAACAAAATGTAACAAAGGATCTGAGCTACCCCAACACCTCCAAGACAGAAGATACACATGGTTAAACTATCCCCCTTTTCAGAATATTTGGCCCATTTATGTTGAAATAATGTGAGATCTGTTCAAGATAACCATATTTAAAGACAAAAGTTCTGACATGAAAGATTACGAGATATCCAGCTATATAAGCAAAATATGCCATGAATACAAGTACCTGGACTGACCATGATTGCTACCAAGCCTTCCGTTTGAATACATGTGCTACACTCAATGTTTGAAATATCAAACGGCCTGTAATATTTTCCTATACACCAAGCATTATGAAAGCTAGGAATTGGTTTGTCATGTACATGTATTGCAATTTTCAAAATAAGTTCTTTCTTTAGAAACAGCAATAACAAAATATGACCTGTAATTAACAAAAATTCAAGGTTTTTACAAAATTTATAACAAACACATTTCCCAAATATGGGAATTTTTATAGCTGACTAAAAGTGGTGGCAGTTACGCATGTATCTGTACATTGTGGTATATCTATATACACTTGTCAGCATATGTGTGCTTGAAGCAGCTTGGAGCACATCAACATTAATATGGAACTGATCTTCTCCCTGACATGTATACAATAACTGTAATTATTTGAAAATTAATATTGCAGCTGAAATATGATATTCACAGATGGACTGAAAAGAATAACATGATCATTTCATATAACAAGGTTACCATGACAACCAATGACTATCATCCACCTAGAACAGCTTTATTCTATACACCAAACTATGACTAGTTTGAAAACAAGTGGTTTAATATCTCGTCTACATAAAATAAATAACAAAATAAATACACAAGGCAGCAAATTGACCTGTTACAAGTGCTCCTGATTCAGCCTGATAAACAATATTTACTATAGTTGCGTAGCAACATTTCACTCACGACCTATTTTGGAATAAAGTACTGGCTCAAATACTGAATCTGCTACAACACTAGGAATATCAGATTTTACTTTTTATATATTTATATATAGATAAAAGCCAAGATACTAGTCGACATAATTTCTCCATCCAGACCTTGAAAATAAGTCCAACAATTCTTTTGCAGCACAGCTAAAGTCTCTGGTTCAATATCTGGTTCATTTGGGTCATATTTGTACAATTAATGCCATGTTCTTACAGCAATACACAAAATACCACAGTGTCACCCCACTTCTACACAGAGTACCTGGACGCTTACACAGAGTACCTAGATTCCAGCTGCCAGTACCTGGACACCAGCTGCCAGTAGCTGGATGCCAACACAGAGTACCTGGACACCAGCTCCCAGTACCTGGATGCCTACACAGATACCTGGACTCCAGCTGCCAGTAGCTGGCATGACCAAGGACACCTGGACTATACTTTATTGGGCCTTGCGTGGGAATTCAAAATGGACTTAAATGAGTACTATTCATGTGACCCAAGAGTCTGGCGTTCTGAGACCCAGAACTGATGACAGATGGAACTATAGCTCAGTAAACTCACAATTTGTTCTAAATTGTAATTTTGTCAGTTAGTTTCACAGGGATCTAAACCTTAAGCACAGACAATTTTCCTTCAGTTTGCAAACAATTTTATAATCACATTTGGATTCGTAGGTTTGGGTCCTTATGAACATTACAAATCTCAAATCTGACAGCAGAATTTCATTGTCAAAGCAAATCTTTACCATCCCAATACAAAAATAAATTGTTATTCTCAGGTATGTTTTTTCTGAATATTTTCAAGGTTGCTGTAACAGTAAACCTAGTAAAAAATGTAAGGCCATATTACAGCTGGTATACAACACAACTGGTAGGGTAATGTGGTAGTTCAATCCATCGCCATGACAGTGGTGGTGTCCAGTTCCTGACAGTGTTAGCTTGTTCATCACCAGGTACCCTTCACAACAGACTAACTTCAATATCAAACTGAGACATACCTAACGGAGCTGCCATGGTTTTAATTTCTATTTTGTTTTTCCCTTCATAACAACCCGTACTCACAAGATATATCATATATTTTATGAAATATTAGAAGCAGCAAAACAAATAAATACCCTCTTTTTTTTATTGATAAAATGTGGTTACCACTATTTGGACAAATCATGATTGTTTGGAAGAGGTTTGGAGATATTTTGTATCTACATCGGGTTGACAGTTTTGGATCATGCTGGCATTTCACACTATAAACACAAGACAAGCAGGGTTTCTGATTACAAACATTACCATGAAATTAATACTTGAGTACAATAACTAAAAGCAACTCTGCTGCCCATATAATGAAAATTATTACTGATTGTGTATGCTTGCTCCGCTGCTGGTTTACAACTGATGTCATATTTCACACCTGGCCAAGAACATTTATCTCCCTTAAAGGAAAACCTCTAAGAAATATTCTTTTTAATAAACAATTTCATATTTATTACTTTATATATTTGATTATAAGCAGATCCTTGCTGAGATTCAAACCCAGACTCTAACCCCTGAGGTGGCTGTGCTCCATCCAAGCAATCCGAAACATTGCATGATTGTGACAAATCATTCAAAACCACTTGTACTGACAGTGTGCAGACTTCTCTTTTCAAAATTTACCTTCCATGCAAAGAAGACTTTTCATTGGCCAGGTGTTTAGTAGAAATGGAATTGGGAAAAAGACAGTATACAAAGATTTGGTTTTGACCATTCAACAAATAGTACTGAAAGATAACAGATGAAAGAAAGTGTAATCAAGGACCAAAGGTTTCCTGAAGTACATCAGTAACTATTGTAGGATTCTTTGGAATTAATATCATTGGTATAAAACTGCAGTCTGGAGTCCATCACGTTTAGAATGTAACACTTCGGCCAAAACACATAACCACTGTTCCTTATGGAACAATCTGTCTTAAAGGAGAGTTTAAGTACACGAGACGAGTCATCAATGTTAGTACATGGTTCCACCGTTTCAAGACGGCGGCAAAACGGCCTGATGGGGACGCAGAAGCGACACACAGATCCCAGCATGCATCTGTGACCTCTGCCCTCAGACTGACAGAGATACGAAGCTGTTGTACTGAGAGATATTTCTTTTCAGGATGTCGGCACAGGGTCCAAGGACACGCTCAAAGCGCCCACGATCCATTTTGACACATTTGAGAGGGCCTCGAGAGACAACGGTTGCTGCTCTGGGTCGGTCCAGTAACAGAGCAATCTCACCTAAAACAAGAGAATAAAACACTAGCTAATTGTTAACCCTACCTCTACTACAACAGTCACATAGATCTTGTTTTTTGGCCAGCATCTTTTCAACAGAAGTCTTCTCACTGTTAATTAACCATAACTAGTTGAGATACAAATAGTACCTCCCTCCCTAAATGCTCATGTTCAGTCAGGGTATCTCACTTCTTTCTAACATCAATATCATAGATATGAAACATGCATCAACACAGAAACCTAAAATGTTGACAATTATGGGGTATGTTTGAGGAGAAAGACTGGCTGTATGTCAACAAAATATATCATCGCTGCCTTAAAAGAGTTGAAAGCTAACTGATGATCCATCACCGTACAATGACACAGTGTGATCAGTCAATCCTAATTTGCCTCCAACACCAAACATGAGGCAGAACTACAAAACATCAGATACAGTGATTTGTTTTCTTTGAATAAATTTAATCTTTCTCATCAACAAAGGCATCTAGTCGTAGGACCAATATGTGCACTTAATGCCTCCAAAAGCCTACCTACACTAACATAATACTATTCCCCGGCACTATCAATCAGTTTCTTTTGAGACAAAACTGTGGGGAAAACATCATTAGTAACTCTTGTCATTGGAAGATGAGGTAATGTCTCCGGAATAAAAACCATCCGTTACATCATTCCAAGCAGGAAACAAGATTTCCTGTGACAACTTCGCCACCAGCACATCACCAATCAGTCTCGTACATCTACACCAACAACAAATTGGCGGGGATCTCCAATTCCGAACTGAGGAGACAGCTGTGAGACAATTATTTTCCGTACACCTTATTAGGAAGGTTGTGATGCTTGTCTATCTGGGCACTGTTCCTGTTCTGTGAGCGATTACAACCTTACTGATGTGGATCTGGGTTTCTCTGGGATGCTTCGAGCAATGGCAAGGAAGGACTTAGTACAGCTTTAGTTTACGATTACAATAGAAGCATGCATTCTAATCCACCAGTGTCTGGGATTGGATCAGATGTGTAAAATAGCACACTGAATTCAATCAGTTTCACTGCCTGATACGGTGGCATATTGCAGCTCGGACATATCAGAATTCATAGTTCCACTTGCTGACATGCTAATTTAAACAATTAGTTGTGGTGTTGCTTCCTTGAGCTGAAGCTAACTCCCTGACTGCCTATGCTGATGGTAATCTGTACATGCCCTGGATGGAAGACTTACCGAAGTAGTCGGATGTCCCAAGTCTGCCCACTTCTACTGGCTCTTCGTTGTCCGATCTTCTTTGTAAGACCGCAGCCTGACCCTACAACAGTCAATGACAATGTGTACAAGTACAGCACAACTCTGGCATGTATTCCATGCCAGGCATGTATTCAAGGTCTGGTGTATGTTCAATGATTTTATCTCAACTACCTGTTTCGATGACTGAGTGAGTGAGTGAATTTAGATTAACGCCGCTATTAACAATATTCCAGCAATATCACGGCAGGGGACACCAGAGATGGGCTTCACACATTGTACCCATTTGGGGACTCGAACCTGAGTCTTCGGAGTGACGAGCCAATGCCTTAAACCACTAGGTTATCCCACCGCCCCTCAATGACTAAGTAGAACAAGAGTCATCAGAAGATGACATATATTTCCCGGCCCCCACATTTTTGAAAGAACAAATCATCTGACAGTTACTTGTCCAGCTTGACTTTTTTTTAAATTATATCCAAATCGTTTCCCTGGAAATCATGAGAAATATAAATGCCAAAAATCTGTAAATAGCAAAAGGCACCATTTCAAAATTTACCTAATATATCTGCCAAGTTCTGTTGAAAGATACTGAATGCTTTTCGAGTTGTGCACTGGAAATGAAGCCCACCCTCCCTTTTGGGACTAAGTCCTAATCGTTTCCATGGAAACCGGGAAAAATTAATATACCAAAAATCTGCCAAATAGCAAAAGGCACTACTTTGGCATCTGCCTCACATATCTGCCAAGTTTTGCTGAAAGATATTAAGAAGTTTTCCAGTTGAGCTCCAGAAACGAAACCCACCCCTCCCTCTTGGGACTAAGTCCGAATCGTTTCCATGGAAACTGAGAAAATAATAAATCACAAAAATCTGCAAATAGCAAAAGGCACCACTTTGGGATCTGCCTCACATATCTGCCGAGTTTTGCTGAAAGATATTAGAAGTTTTCCAGTTGTGCTCCGGAAACGAAATCCACCCCTCCCTTTTGGGACTAAGTCCGAATCTTTTCCATGGAAACTAGAAAAAATAAAAATGCCAAAAATCTGCAAATAGCAAAAAGCACCACTTAAGGTTCTGTTTGATATATCTACGAAGTTTTGTTGAAAAATATTGAACGGTTGTTGAGTTATGCTCCGGAAACGAAGCCCCCCCCCCACACACACACTTTAAGACTAAGTCCAAAACGTTTCCATGGAAACCGAGAAAAATAAAAATGACAAAAATCTGTAAATAGCAAAAGGCACCACCTTAGGTTCTGTTTGATATTTCTACCAATTTTTGTTGAAAAATATTGAAAGGTTTTGGAGTTATGCTCTGGAAACAAAATGATTACGGACAAACAGACGGACGAGGCGACGACTAAACACTAACAGATCACCTTTTCACTAGCTTAGAAGGAAATTTTGTAAAATAGAAAACAACATGTGTACAATTTTACCGGACCTGAATCACAGCATTTCCCTAAGATGTAACAAGTCTGAAGTAAAGGTCAAGACATGCAGCTTACGTCCATCCCGTGGTGTGACCTTTGTGTAATCAACCCTGCTCAATACCCAGTCAATAAGACTGATCGATCACGGCAGCGTTATGCCATTAATACCCACACCACCACCAGCTTCCCAGCTCTTTTTGCTCCTTACAACACAGGCTCAAATGCCATCACTGATCCAAAGTTTTTCTAAATAACATTCTGTCCGAATACCATAGTAACTAATGAAATAAGAAATAAGACTTCAGATACATTGTTATCAAAATCCAACCCAGATATGATAACACAGATGCACTTTCAGATAATTTTAAACTTTGACTGTGTTCAAGGTTGTTCGAGTAATTTGATGACAGGTTGTTTGTCGTTCTCCTATAGTAAGTGAAAATACTACAATAGGAGAGAGGAAGTTCACAAGGCACCAGAGACTAGGTAACAACTCTCCCAGTCACATCCTGCTGCCCTAACAATGCCTTATTCACAACACCTCTACATCAATACACTCAACATTGTTTTGAACAACCTCAATATAACAGTGTTTTTTCTATTTTAATCAATTACCTTTACTACAGTACGGATTCCATGACTGGGAAGCCTGTCGAGTGTTCACTCTGGACAAATTTAGCTCATGGGCACATAGTCACCACAGCTCTGGTAATGTAGTGAAGTGAATATGAGGCTGGATGAAATACAATAGACAACAGAGTTTGTATGGGTGCGTCACATTCCTCATTTACAGCTCACCTCGATAACAAACAGCTGGACAAAGGTTCTTATTGCCAAGACAATGAAGATAGACAAAGGCTCTTACCAGCACAATGCTGTAGACAATAGTCAGACAAAGGCTCTTATCTCCACAATTATGAAGACAATAGTCAGACAAAGGCTCTTACCTCCACAATTATGAAGACAACAGTGAGACAAGGCGCTTACCTCCAAAATGATGAAGAAGTCTTCTCCTGGCTCCCCTTGCCGTACAATTTCTTCTCCGTCCTCGAACATGACGGGCTCCAGGGCGTCTGCGACTGTGAGACGCTCCCACTTGTCCAGGTTCTCTGTCAGATAGAAAGTGTGTCCATTAATGTCAAGCAGGCTCTCAGCTACTTCTTTACCCCCAAAATAGTCACCTCAATGCCCCTTACTTGAATTCCATTCTGATATCATTTGAGCAGAAAGTGACAAAATTATGCTGATGCAGCTGGAATATTGTTGAGTGTCACCTTACATATTTTACCACTATCTAACCTGGTTTCAATTAACAGACAGTCTCAAAGATTTCACCATAAGTAGAAGAAATTACATTCTTACCAAGAATTGATACTTTCCCAAGAAATTCTTCATACATCTTCCTTTTCCTGATTGTACTTCCCTGAAAGACAAATATTTACAGTGAAATATATTACATATTGGCAATGACATGAATGTACACACATTTTAGTCTGACAAGGTATTTACGTGCATATATATTTATTGAGTAGTGTACGGTGGTTGTGGAACATATGAACACGGTGACAGGGTACCATGGTATTAGAGTATATCTGTACTGTGTCAGTGTACAATGATTTTAGAGAAACATCTGCACAGTGACGGAGTACAAGATTGCAACAATGACCACAGTGACTGAGTACAATGGTTGTGTCAAACTTATGGTTGACTTGAAGCAAAACCTTTGTCCCTGCACAGGCGTTATGAAGTTATCATTTTGCATTTGTGTCAAACATCAGACAAGTATTTACGCAAGTCCCTTCAATCTAGACACAACAATGTTTGACTGTATCCACAATGATTTAGTACTACAAGTGCAAACACAAGGACAGAGTACAATGAGTGTACCGCCATGACAGAGTACAATGAGTGTACCGCCATGACAGAGTACAATGAGTGTACCACAATGATTGAGTACAATGAGCGTACTGCCATGACAGAGTACAATGAGTGTACCACGATGATGGAGTACAATGAGTGTACCGCCATGACGGAGTACAATGAGTGTACCACCATGACAGAGTACAATGAGTGTACCGCCATGACAGATTACAATGAGTGTACCGCCATGACAGAGTACAATGAGTGTACCACCATGACAGAGTACAATGAGTGTACCGCCATGACAGATTACAATGAGTGTACCGCCATGACAGAGTACAATGAGTGTACTGCCATGATGGAGTACAATGAGTATAGCAAAATGACGGAGTACAATGAGTGTACCGCCATGACAGAGTACAATGAGTGTACTGCCATGACAGAGTACAATGAGTATAGCAAAATGACGGAGTACAATGAGTGTACCACCATGACAGAGTACAATGAGTGTACCACAATGATGGAGTACAATGAGTGTACTGCCATGACAGAGTACAATGAGTATAGCAAAATGACGGAGTACAATGAGTGTACCGCCATGACAGAGTACAATGAGTGTACCACGATGACGGAGTACAATGAGTGTACCGCCATGACGGAGTACAATGAGTGTACCACCATGACAGAGTACAATGAGTGTACCGCCATGACAGATTACAATGAGTGTACCCATGAGTGTACTGCCATGACAGAGTACAATGAGTATAGCAAAATGGCAATTACAATGAGTGTACCACCATGACAGAGTGCAATGAGTGTACTGCCATGACAAATGTGTACAATGAGTATAGCAAAATGACGGAATTACAATGAGTGTACCGCCATGACAGAGTACAATGAGTGTACCACCATGACAGAGTACAATGAGTGTACCACAATGATGGAGTACAATGAGTGTACTGCCATGACAGAGTACAATGAGTATAGCAAAATGACGGAGTACAATGAGTGTACCGCCATGACAGAGTACAATGAGTGTACTGCCATGACGGAGTACAATGAGTGTACCGCCATGACAGAGTACAATGAGTGTACCGCCATGACGGAGTACAATGAGTGTACCGCCATGACAGAGTACAATGAGTGTACTGCCATGACGGAGTACAATGAGTGTACCACAATGACAGAGTACAATTAGTGTATCCACAATGACAGAGTACAATGAGTGTATCCACAATGATGGAGTACAATGAGTGTACCACAATGATGGAGTACAATGAGCGTACCACAGTGACGGAGTACAATGAGTGTATCCACAATGATGGAATACAATGAGTGTACCACAATGAGTGTATCCACAATGATGGAGTACAATGAGTGTACCACAATGACGGAGTACAATGAGTGTATCCACAATGGAGTACAATGAGTGTACCGCCATGACAGAGTACAATGAATGTGTCCACAATGATGGAATACAATGAGTGTACCACAATGATGGAGTACAATGAGTGTATCCACAATGATGGAGTACAATGAGTGTACCACAACCAAAGCACTCACCATGAGGATCCTCCTGTAGCTGTCCCGGTCTATTCCCCACAGTTTCACATCACTCTTGGCCTGAAACACACGATAAGGGGAAATGTTTATTCCACTTGAAAAACAAAACTAGGCTACACCAATTTGTTTTACGGATTTTTGTCCTAAGAAAACCTAAAGGCAAGAGAAAAATAAATAAATAAATAAATAAATAAATAAAATAACCAATCAAAGTAATATTCCTTTTAAATACTAAAAGTATTTTACTTTTGGCAATTTTTGAAGTGTATAAGGGGCAAAAAACAATGAAAATTTTTTTGGGGGTAAGTTTACATTTTTGGCCAATAAAAACATTAGGATTTTATTTTTTTGAGCGGGAAATTTATTTTTTTCTTATTCTTGAAAAAAACAACGACTGGTGGATCCGTAAAACAAGAAATAAAATTGGTCTGGCCCTATATAAGCATTTTATGGCTTTGAATATCAGAGAGACAAGTGCAATGTTATAGAAAACATAATTGTTACACAAGTGACATTCTGACTCTTGGGTGCCTTTGACCTTTGAGAAAAAATGTACCTAATAAAGTTACAACCCAGCTACAGTAAATGCAGCTTCACGACAGTCAGGATATTAAAGATCTATGTCCCTGGTCAGTAATGCAAACGAACCAACTAGCAGTGAATATTAGTAATCTACCACAGGTGTTAAAGACAGAGAATTACTGTGACAAACTAATTCCTCATCAATCTAAGAATTTGCTTCCCATTTTACAAATCCTATATGACTGGGCTACCCAACCTTATTCAATGTATTTGGGATCAATAGATCCAAGCAGAATCCATAAGGTAATCAAATGTACTCATCTCTGTACTAAGTATAGCACTTTTTTGCATACATAGTCATATCTTCTATAATCATTGTTAGGCATAGATGTCTTTGAAAAGATTGCAAAACAGCAATTCAAGGACAAAACTTAAAAGTACAAAAATACATTTTGTTCTAAAAGAGCAGAAATTCAAGGACAAATACATAATCATTTCAAACCAGTTTGGCAATGCTTTCAAAGGAGCCCACATCATATGACCAAAAAAATCCACATTAATTTACCTAAATACTTGCAAAGCCACCTTGCCAACAGCTACAAAACTCTATATTTCCATTCCAGCAAGCATATTACCATCCACTATTACCTTTTTCAAAACCAATTACTTTTGACCTCAGGGGCATTTCAACATCTTAAAGAACTGACAAAAAAACATGTTTTGTCTCTTAGCCCTGTGATTTACAATAAAAACATGGAGTGGCAGGAGAATCTTACACCGAGCCCATAGCAGCAACCACACTTTAGTCACCAATTGGGAAGTGTTTACGGAAACGCTCTTCCACTAGGCGATTAACTACGCAATACTTCAAGAACCCAAGTAAGTTGACGACATCATTCTGGCTGGCTTGTGGCAAGTTGACACAGCACACTGTTCCATTACGCCCCATCATTAGCGCCCTATCTTCAGCAACAGAATTACAGACCGTGCCACCAATTTATGTGACATTTGCTTAAAGACAAGGTGCTTCTAATCATGCAGCAATATGGAGACACTAGGCATGTTGGTCCACACTGTCTGTTGCACATACTCTTCGATCCTATACATCAATGTTCACAAAAAACATGATGAAGGCATATGCGCGTCAATATTTACCCAATAATTGGCCTGGCAATGTTTGTCCAACATCTTAAAAAACTGATCATGACCTTGTAATTGGTTTCAGACAGTATCAGAAAAGAGACAATTGGTAGTTTCTTTTTCTGGTATTTTCTCCCCACTCATGAATGCAGGCCCATGGTATTGCATTACAACAGACTGATTAGCAAGGACGAGCAGTGCAGTAATGATAAGGCTGATTAGCTGGACTGGATGAGCAGTACAAGAGACACACTAGTCTGCAACCTTACCAGAAAGGTGTGATACCTTAGATCCTGATACTTTCATTAGTTGTTATTTATTAGTCCACTGGTTACAACTTTCCAGCAATTACTGATTGTTGATCTTCATCAATCTACTGATAGACTAAACCTAACAAAACGCAAAAATCAGCAATGGCCATGACCTTGATAAAACCCTAAAAAACGATTATTAAAATAATCCAAGCCTACAAGAGGTAAAGAAGAAAGTGAAGTATTTAGCTAGCCCAGTTTGGATGACAGACTGTGCGATGTTCTGAACTGCCTCCAGCTTATGCTACCCTATGTCTTCAATAAGCCAGCAATTTGTTGTCAACCTCTCGACTCTGCTCTGATGATAGCTGAAGACATTATTGGAATCCTTCTGGATGGACAATGACGCCAGAAGACCAAGACATGGCTTCCCACTGTCAGGGAATCTCAGGCTGCCACAAAGACAGGAAACCTAACCATCATGCATTCTGTGTATTTTGGGCTCAACTCGACCAGGTTACTTCACAGATAAGCTATTTTCTGTCTGCATCATGGTGCTGGCACAAATTATAATGACAGCCTCTAACAAGGTTTCTCTTCAAAAAAGAGAATGAACCTATTTCTATTATGCTTGTTGGGTATCTGGTTATTTCTACAGCATCATGTATATCACTTCAAAGTAAAGCATTGATATCACAGTTACAGGGAAATGTATTTAGGATTCTTTCATAGTAGCATGGCTTAAAAATAACATTCCTCATATTGTTGAAAAGTCTGACCAATATTAGGTGTTGAGATATATTATTCCATGACTTCAAGAAGAATTTTGTAGAGAGTGTAGTGCTCATTAGTATGTTGCAGTCTAGGCAACTGCTACTGTACTGTTAAGCGGCCTTCACATGGCAAACTAAATTATGACTACACATGTTGTCAAACTCGATTTTGGGAGTGTGAAGATTCCAACAACTTGCCACCAACACCAATTTCAGAGTTGTAAAACAGTTGTCGAGGAATAGGATCGGTCTCTATTCTCAGCAACTTTTCCATCAAACTTTCGGTGTTGTCAAACTTGAGTTTGATTGACAACATTTGTTTGACATGTGAAAAAGCAAGTTTGACAACTTTCAAAGTGTTAACAACATGTGTTGTAAAACTTTAGTTTTCCTTGTGAAGGCCGCTTTAGGCTGAGCACAGTATGTTTTGTGTATTGGATGAAAAGGTTATCACAAATACATGGTACACTCTAATACTGAAAGTAGTACGAGAAACATATAGTTCTGGTAAATGATGGAAATAAGATCGGAAAGAATATGTATCAGATTCCTGTAAACAGAGTTTCAATAATAATTTGAACTCATATTGATAACATCACACATTTCATCAACCTGTTTGTTTCAATGTTTTATTCCACAAAAGATCAAAAGATTACCTGAAAATGATTACCCTCTTTCTGCTATCAATGTGCTAACAAATCCATGTAGCTGATCAGTATGAATTACATCAGACTTCAGGGCATAAGAGAACTCAAAACTAACGTCCTGAATTCGAAATCATCCCTCATACGAAGTATAAGTCTCTAAAGACAAAATTGATACCCTTACTTCATCAATTTGTAGGATGAGGTAGTTCAACCGAGATGTACCAACCTGTAATGTTGGCACCCTGAGGGTAGCGACTGTGTCAGTCATTTTATTGATACCATTGACATGGGTTCCCTACAAATTACCCAGATTAGGTATGAGGTGACTAAACTGGTGATTGATGTAAGATATGTGTCAGTAGGTTACATCACAGGTCAGGACAACACTCTAGAATTACCATGACCCTGTGCTTGAAATCCAGTCAAGGTAAACGGAACTGACCACACCATCCAGCCAGCCAGCCAGTGACTCACCTTGACTGTAGCTGCTCTGGGTGTTCCATAGATGAGGGCCAGCTCCCCGAAACTACCACCCTCACCTATTGTTGTTACATGCTCGCTGTTGACATAGATCTGAAACATAAAACATAGTGTAAAACAGCAGCAAACACAAACTATTTCAGATTCCTAAAAATTCAGTCAATTCTTCAACTGAAGATGCTGAATCCTTCCTGGTAAAATTGTTGCCTAAAATACCATAAACAAAGGGTCAGAAGTGAACATTATCAAACAGAGATTCAACTAATACCATGTGTCATGTTTCAACTAGGTTTCATAGGGGCACCTGTCCTGAATTGCACACAAAAGGGTTAGAAGATATCAGAGTAAATCATCAAGACGAGGCTCTTCGTCTTTGAAGAATATGTTGCACTTAATTTTGAGTTCTGCTCTGGTAATGTGCCCAACCCTTATTTCCATTACAACTGTTAAATTCTGAAATTTTAATAATCTAAATACCAAATGCCAACTGTGTATACCTTAATGAAGTTGTCTCAAACAGTTTTATGTGTAGTCCTGAACTCTGACACACAGAGGAAGTTCTTTGTATATTTTACTATGGTGCTGGCATAGACAGACCCTAAGTAGCTGATTAAACAAGAGGAAACGATTACAAGCTCAAACATCAGCCAGCCCTGATTTATCTCCTCGAATCAACTTAAAGGACATTTTGGGATACTTCAATTTTTAGAATATCCAGTCAGCTGACGGGGTTGCAGTATATGTCAGAACATTTCTGGTTTCCCAAAAAGGTTTCAGCTAGTTTGATGTCAAGGTGGTCTAACTACAGACTTCACCACTTATAAACATCTCACTGCCCAATCAGAGCCCTGCAATAAAACCCCAACAGGGACACACCACAGTCACTCCGTCCCTGCCGCTCGATGGTATAAGTGCCATCCAATGACATATATTTCACCCTTTTATAGCAGATCTGTAGTTCCCAAGGGTAATTAAAACTAAATCTTGATGAAAATGAAGCAATTATGGGGAAAGATACGCATCTCATGTCTGAGTAGATGCTGAGAAGATGTTGATGAAGGAAGTAAATATGGACAGAGTTTGACATCTTTATCTATAAGGGTCAAAGAAAGTGAAGACAGCCCATTTACTCATTGATGAGATAAACTCACTGCTCCAAATGTCCTTTTTGATGGGGAATAGATGAATTAGTCTGGCTTAATGACATAATATTCCTCAAACCCTTTGATGCATGAACATTGATTCAGGTTCCTAAGGAAATAGGCTGATCAGGAAAAAACATCAATAAATATATTCTCTACATTTTGTAACTGAATCTCCAAAACTCATGGAATCTCAAGAACATGAGCAAACTGCAGGATGTTCATGCTGTATTAGAAACATCCTGTGATGTTCTCCTCATTTTCCAATCAGCTTAAATCTCATACACAGGAACGTTACAATAACCAAGGGAATTCATAAATGCAAGCTCCTATGATGTGTAACATGTGCATGCCCCTTCCGGGAGATTTATGTTACATTTGAACACAATCTCATTGATGACAATGAGAGGATTGATGTAAAACATAACAACAAATGTCTTCAATAAATGTCTGTGTAGTGAACCGGAAACCTTCATATCTGCAGCACAGAGAGTTAACTACCAGGCGACAGAGATCACACATCATAATGCTTTCAGGAATCTATTTTTCAAGAAGATGCATGTCTGCAAGAGATATTTTAAGCCTGTTTCCTTTCCAAATGTAAATGGGACCCGTGAAGGTCCGGGTTAGAATGAATCTTCAGTAACCCATGCTTGTCGTAAGAGGCGACTAACGGGATCGGTCGCTCAGGCTCGCTGGCTTGGTTGACACATGTCATCGGTTCCCAATTGTGCAGATCGATGCTCATGCAATTGATCACTGGATTGTCTGGTCCAGACTCCATTATTTACAGATCACTGCCATATAGCTGGAATATCGCTGAGTGCAGCGTAAAACTAAACTCACTCACTCCAAAGGTTAATGGAAAGAATGTTTGAAACATAAAATTGTTGATAAATGTTGTATTAGATTTTGTTTCAACCAAGAATGGGCTCCAAGCCAACACTGACACTAAACCGCCATCCTGAATATTCTATTCAGTACATACAAACACTAAACACCCTTTCTCTCCATTCTGCCAGGAGACATGGAATGCCCCCAAATTTCTGACTTGCCATGATCTCTGAGCACATATTTCTACGGAACTTGTTGTGACCTTTGACAATATATTACTAACTGGCTTGACTCTTTTTTGACCACTTACTTCTATACAACTTAATCTGACTTTTGACTACTTATTTCTACCTGTCTTGTTTTGACCACTGACCTCTTACTTCTACACAACTCGCTATAAGCCTCACAACATCCTATGGGTAATTTGGTTATGAAGGAGGAACCAGGTCATATCCGAAGCGCTGAGATGAATAATGTCAGGAGACACTCAACTGAATAGTAGACAACTTAGTAGGAGTCTACAGATCTAGATTGCCAAGTTCACTTACGGCACTCGAAACTTTATAACAGCTGCCTTAAACATCTGGAAGAGTGTCTTAACAAGAACACTGTTTTAAATTCATCCTGGATACCCTTAAAAGTTTTCTGAAGGATGATCTGTCAACGACTAAATTACAACTTTCTCAAGTGTCCTTGAAATCCAGCGCTTCCTTCCTTACCATCGTTCCCATCTACTGTTTCAGGATTCTACTTGTTGTAGAGTGGTCTTCAACAGGTGTGTCCATGTTATGATGACAATCTATACAATGGCCCCCCTGCAGCCACGGCTTCCATCAAGCTGCTTACACTTCTCCTATATGTCTCATTATAGCCAATCTGGCAGCAAGCTGGCTGGCAGCAATGGCCAACCTTAACATCGGCTTTCCCTAACTCAAGCCTAGGCTGAGTGACAGCCTCTCATATGTAGCCTTCTGAAAGGAGGCTAATTCAGGTTTTCAGAGTTACACTGATGCATCCGCTCCAAAGGAAGGACATCCATCTTTGTAAGCAAGAACCATTAGCTAGCACGTCTAGCTGCCCAATGGTACTCACCGAGGCATATTGAAATGTTCAAAGCAAACTCAAAATGAAGGATTCAACTGTTCCTGTTCTTTCATAAAAAGGGTAGATGCAAATTACATTTATTCTGAGTCTATTGTCAGTGTTAGGATTTATTCAAATGTCAAATGTAATGCAGTCAGTTTGACACTGAACTAGTTATTAATCATCGTGCTGTAAAGGTGAAAACAGTTCAAGGAAAGTTTAGAACAGTGTGACTCCATGGAGAAGATTGTCAGTGCAGTGAGTCAACGTTAGTATCATACCCTGACGATTTACACCAAGAGACTGTACTAGCCAAAGATCTAATGACAGCTTCATGGGCCATGATGGATTACATGTGGTAATTGGGAAGATTCAGGTGTTCTTCAACATATTTCTAGCACCATATAATTATACTCCATATACACATTCTTTGTACATGTGATGCAACAAGTCAGCTGCAAAGGAATTAGACCATTGGACCATGTACCGATAAATCATGGAGCTCACCTAGTTAAACAGACATCATCAATAATCTACTCATAGCAGGGGTGGAAATAACTTTAAAATTGCCAGTGTACTCCGGTACAGTGGCACATGTAAAATCACTTGCCCTGATAATTTTTCCACTAAACTGGCCGATTTTCTTGTTGATTTTTAAAATAAACAACATAATTAACATTGGAAAGTCAACTGGACACCGGTACAGTGTAATATATAAATTTGCTTGCCCGACAGAAAAAAACACTGGACTGGGGCGTCGGGCAATGGGTTATTTCCACCCCTGCATAGTTAAGTGGTTTAAAAATTACATCAACACTGACAAAGAAAAGCAAGCAAATGATAAATCATGAATCAAATTCAGTTTTACTGAACAGAATTAAAACCATCATGAAACTGGTGAGGGGATGTTATGAGTATTTATCTGCAGCCAGAAGAGACTACATTGTTATCCAGTTTGGTTTACATTTTAACCATCTCAACAATAATCAACTAGCAAGAGGTTCTGTTACTATTATAAATTGCAGATGGTGGTGGCATCTTCCAATTCCTTAAACTGAAATGGCTCGACTTGCCAGCTATTTCTTAAACACACTTTTCTGATTCAAGTTTGCTCCTAGAATACAACGTTCATCTTACACACACTTTTCTGATTCACGGTTGCTCCACTGATACAACGTTCATCTTCTCCTACTTGAAGAGACTATCCAAGTGTCAATCACCTGCTGGCATCTAAATCAACAGCTACAGTCAACACAGCTTCTTGTAAGGTCACAGCTTAACAACTCCAATGTCAACTGAAAAAAACTACATGACTGAAGAGAAAAAAGAAACCTTTCCCACTGAAATAGAATCTGTGGGATTTCTTACCAAATTCGCAAGTCGTATTCTCGCCTAAAACAGCAGGAAGAAGGAACTAACTGAGTCCCAATGCAATGATAAGCTCCTCAAAATGTTGTCCCTCAAAAACGCATGAAGCCCCAGCAGAGGTAAAGCTCTAAGCTTCCATTTAAGGTATTTGCTGGGAATAACTGTGGCAAATATCCCTGGATATTACCTCTTCAAACTTATCACTATTTTATTACAGTAATCTTCCCTAAGGGCAGTTAAATAAAGTGGCCATGAATTCATTGCCATGATTTCTATCACTGTTCAGCTACTGCAAACTAGTAATCTCATTTAAGAGCCAATCACAGCTTTTGTTTCTTTCGTATGATGGCTTGTTGCAGCCAATATAAGAAGTATATGGCTATTGGCAACCCATTCCGCCATGCAGGGTAGAAACACTTCCATGCCTTTGATTGCCACAGGCCTTTATGTGAAAAATATCACAATGTCACATCTACTGACACGGCTGTAACTTTAGGGTCATGTCCATGATGGAGAAAGCAGTGGAAGCCAAGGTTTCACAGCATGACAGATAGTGAGTTATTGATAAATAAGAAATTCTATCGAAGCAAATTGTGAAAATGTTTTATTTAAGATATAAATATACCAATGTGTTGCCTTCACCCACATTCTTCTTTAGCCTCCAGAAAAGAAGTCCCCAAAACATTCACCACAAGTTTAAAAGATTTCATTTAACACAACAAACATCTTGAATCCCAAATTTTGTTTTCCACATCATGTCTCTGAATCACCATTGAAGAGTGATGACACCAGGTCAGCATGTGTTTATGAATCACTATCACCTTGTGATACGAGGTATAACCAAGTGTATTCACCAGCACAAACACATGCAAAGGCAAATCAATAGTTCATCTTAAAGAATCGGTTCAGAGTGAAAATTGGGAACATATTAGACACCACAAACCTTTTGTGTGACACTCAAATACGGAGACAAAAAGAAGATATCCATCCATTGATAATAATTTGGGCATCATGTCGTCATATATCAGTTGGGCTTCAAGCCATTTCTTCCTACCCTGCATATTGTAAAGCATGTGGACTTCACTAAGTCCATCCATCAACACTTACTCGTGAGGGAGTGATGCATGGCTCCATGTCACATAACTCTGTCTGTAATATCCTACGGGCAAGAAGGAAATAATACCTTTCCTTTGGGTTATTTTGAATCAGTAATACAATCAGCATATATTACATGACAGCTGCGACTGACACATATTAAAAAAAGAAAACTAAAATCACTTATATTCCATCTTTTCTCTGTGGTAATAATTCCCCCACCAATGGGTTTCTCTTGTCCAGGAATGCCATTATCAGACTGGTCATTATTTAACAATGTCACTATAGAGAAGGATGCGAGTCCGACCAGAGATGTGTGAGCTATCAGGGCTTTTCATTGCTTCACTTTAGTTTTAGGTAGAGCCTCATCTAAAAGTTTCTATGGGGAAGTCTAAAAGTAAACACTGGTTTAAAGATGTTCTTATGTTTTTCTTTTGAAGCAGTATTTACCAAGACATGACATGCAAATTATTTCTTTACCAATGCTGTTATAATTTATGCAAAGTTAAATCACCACATGGAAAGAGAAGTACAGAATACTAACACCATTGCCACAATTACAGCAGAATTCTTCAGCGACATATTTGAAAATTTTCCAACTTTTCACTACTTTGTATTTTACATGTGGAAGTAAGCCATGATCAAATATCAAACATAGCCCTACTAATATGTTTTGCTGAAATCAATCTTTTGCAATTTCATCTCAACCTCAACTGCTAAACAAAGTGAATTTCACATTCAAAACTCATTACAAAGTTAGTTTTAAAGGAAAACGAATTTTAAAGACAAACACCCTGTCAACATTTCAGGGATTCATCAATTCATTTACTGATTTGAACTTCTCCATCTTGGAAGCAAATGTTATGAAAGGCAAGTAAACAGGTGATTGTTTAGGGAGAAGTATGGCACCTAATTCACTTACGTCCTGACAAACATATTTAAGACTTCATTTGAAAAGCTCTTCAACAACAAATTGCTGAAAATGATGGAGGGAAAAAACCGTAGGTAATTACAGAGGATGCTATTTGTGCAGCAATCACAGCGGCAGGACTGAAAGTGAGTTCCGTTAATGTTAATGGACCCGTGAAGTGATAATAGTGCCCGCCATTGCTTTCAGTCCATTTGGGGAGGGAGGGAGGGAGGGAGTGAGGGACAAAAGGAGAGAGAAAGAGGTTCCCAGATAGCATTCAGCTGTTGGCCCAACGTTGGCAAATGGTTTTGCCAACATTGCCAACATTGGCCCAACGTCCGAATGCTATCTGGGTTATAGCGGTCATATTCTGTAAGATTATTAAATCAAATTTACATGAACTGAAACTTTAATCATACTAAAAGTGATTTCTTTTGATTTGTTTTGTGAACGAAAGGTAACCAGCAACATATCCAACCATGAGTCTCAAGCTTGTGGTTACACCGTGTTTACTATGTGTGTTTCGCGTCTCCAAGGGACCACGTCCCCAACAAGAGTGAAGTCAAGGTCTGACAAGGAGTGAGCACCAACAGAGCTGATTGACTTTACATGCAGTGACAGAAAATTAGGTCACTTCTGTTCCAAAGGCCTTTTCCATTAACTGATTCCTGCGCTGACTAGATGATCCTTCATACCACAACATTTGTTAGGGGAATTCTCTAACGAGCAAACTCCCATACAATGATACCATGATATATATCTGAAGAAGTGCCCAAACACCCATACTATAACACATATCAGGTGGGACAGTTGACTGACTGAAATCCCATACCATAATATATATAGTACACAGTTCTGGGTTCTGATCCACAAAATGGTCGCAACTCTATAGTTTACCATAGCACTACGAATGCTTTGTGGATTGGGACCCAGAGCACTACAAAGACCAAACTATTCCTCTATGGCATGACTTAATTTCTTTGGCTGTTTTGTTTTGTTGTTTGTCGTAGAATCCTGTTGGTTTTGGGGAAAGTGAGTGAGTGAGTAAGTATGGTTTCACATCACTTTTAGCAATATTCCAGCAACATCAAAGCGGGAGACACCAGAAATGGGCTTCATACACTGTACCCATGTGGGGAATCGAACCCCGGGTCATCGGTGTGACGAGCCAACGCCTTAAACCACTAGGCTACCCCACTGTCCTGGTTTTGAGGGAAGCAGGGACACCTGTGGCAAGTCTGATGTGCACATTAGCACTAGCAAGCTTGATAAAATAATACTCTTTCTCTGAAACACATAATGCCAGTAATGGCCAGGATTCTTGAAGAAATGCGGCTGCTGTGTTGTGATGCCTCCACACAGCCAGGTTTGAGGCCCACCACAGATGTCTAATCCCACCAGCTTCTCAGCCCAGACACATGTCTTTGTATGTCAGTGTGGATAATTCTATTTCAGTCAGCTCACCAGTACAGTCTATCTGGTCACAGCTCCTACACCTTACAACTGTCCTTAGCTCAGGGCAAAGTACCATGAGTCTCTAGTTCAACTGAAGTCCTGAAAACTTGGTGACTATCTCATTGGAAAACAGGTCCTTGACAAAATATATTTCTCATCTGTACCTATTCAATACTAACTTGTCTCTTTAACAGAGTCTTGATAAAAAACAAACACTCCACAGGCGAAGACAAGCATTAACCAATGACAATGCAGGATTGAGAAGAAATCCATTTACTGCTGAGGAGAGGTGACATATTTCGCATTTAAGTGAGACATAATGCCTGATATGGTAGACAGAAGTACAACTATGATTTGATTGTTTTCGAGAATCTACAGACAGTGTAAGGTGAGAATTAACTGTGACAACCTTCAGTATTGGATAAGGTTGTAATATAATTAGCAATTGCATTTAAACTGTTGACAGTTGGGAACAACTAATACTCAATGTTCCCTCTTGTCTCAGACCACGAACGATTACCACAAATCACCGAACAAAAGTAGCTACCAAACATTTCAAAAACACAATTTCATGAAACCTAAGATCTTTGACATTTGGAAACATTTGAGCCTTCAGTGACAATCGTGCAGCCAACAATGACACAAATCCCAGTAGATCCCCTGCATTTGGGGATGATGAGTACAACAGACAGACATACTTACATCAACCTCTCCTTGATCAAGCACATAGAAGTTGTCGCCTTCATCACCTGGCGAACAGAGAAGACACACATTTCAAACATTTGGATAAAAGCTCAATGGGGTTATGTAAAGTAGTCCACATCTCGAGGATCATGGGAAATCTTTTGAAACTGTGGTACAAACTTAATGCTGCAACCTTCATGGAGAAATTATACATCAAATTGTTTCTTCATATTATTCTTGAGATTCAGTATTCTTAGCTTAGTTTCCTACAGCAAAACAAGGAAAAGATTTTTGTAAAATGGTAGAGGGAAGTCCTTTTTTTGTTAAAAATGTTAAAAAGTTTGCTTTTCAACTGTCAACTTTCTCTACAGATCAGACAAAGAGGATAAGCCTACACTACTTTTGTATCAAATATCAAAGTAGACGGGGTTTTTTTATTCCAAAGCAGGCTTTCTTTTTCACATGTTCCACTGAATCGGGTGTATGTATAATTGTGCTAATCTGAAGGAAGCTTAAAATGGTATCATGAATTTCCTTGCAAAAACTGACAATTTTATACATATTCTTTGTACCTGACCACAGTCAGACATGACCAAGAGTTTCTGGGATTCCTCCTGAAGCTATACTTGATTCTTTCACTTCCAGTGAATTAGAGTGAGTGAGTGACATTTATCACTTTGAGGATGTCATGAGTATCCATGGGTACAGTGCATGCAAACCTGGAAACAATCAGACTTTTCCACCACAGATTTGCCATACAAGCACGGCTCCCTTACAATGTGTCCATAGTTTCAGTTATTTACCAATAGTCATATTTACCATTGTGCGAGAAGGTCTAACTTGCCCATGTTACAATGAGCCAATGGCTGGGGTCATAGAGTTGATTTAACATTAGCGGTTTCCTTAAAGCATTAACCGACACTGACTGACTAAAATCATCAGCCTTCAGTTTGACCAATCCAAGTGTCTGATCAAAATCTATTACCCCTATAATCAGGGCTACCAAAGAAAACTTGGCCACTGTGCAGAAAAATGCAGAAAAGCCCACATTAATCGCGGAAATAGCAACATAAACATAATACCTCGCTACTGAAACAGTGAAAACGGCAATGAAAGACTATGAAACTGCAACATTTATATAATCAGCGAACTTTGACCTCTACTGTGCATGCGCATTGCGATCCGAGCTTCTTTCCAATTTCGGAGCAACCGTGAATCACCTCTCGTAGAAAAAGTATTAAATATGTCGAAAATAATTGCTGTCAATCATTTCATATGAATGGAAAGTAAACTAAACAAGTGTGCACACAAGTATCATGATGATAAATGCCAAATAACACATCAGAAATACTTAAAAAGGGAATGTAACTTATATCCAAGCTGGAAAATGTCAACATGCGGTCGAGACTTCCTCTTCCATGTGCGCATGCGCAAAATCGAAGTTGCAGGCTCTTCATTCTTTTATGCAGTTTTAGCCATTTAAAGTTGCCGTTTGTACTGTTTCGGTAGTGGGGTATTATGTGGGTTTTTCTGCGTCTTTCTGCACAGTGGCAAAGTTTTCTTTGGTAGGTCGCTAATGCAACAGGTTTATTTCTGTTACTTGCACTTGGTTTAAAGATGGCAGCAGCCCTGATAAAACCAGCAACCACCAATATCAATTTGATTATGTATTTCGTCTTGTATGTATTTGTGCACAGGTATCTATCGTATCTTACTAAAATGAGAAGCAACATTTTTGTCATCAGCTGAGAACTGTATTTGTATGACATTTTTAAAATTCAGAGTTTTTCAAGTGGATCTGTAGCCCTAACTCGACTTGATCCAATGACCATTGGTCTCTAGACTGCCTATAGGACACACCTCTGTACAGCAAACTGTGTCAGTGTAGGCGACTGGCCGACACATGCCCCCCAGCATGTACTCCTACTGGCCATCAGCTGACTATACTCACCTTGCTGGATGATCACCTCTCCTGCATGCCGGTGGACTGGAAACATGGCGTCAAAAATATCACTGAAAATAAGAATAGGATCGCTATAGAATCAAATCAGGTCAAGTGGATAACTTGGCCAGACAGTATCATACAGAACTGGTTGCTGGCAGACCAAACTGACAAAGCACATGTTCCAATAAACATAGTTTAATTTACTTAAATAGAATAATAACATAACTAGTAATATTTAAGAAAAATGTGAGAATGAATTATTATTATACATAAATCTATTTAAGTTTTAAGTAAAATTCAATATTTTCTAATAGAAATAGGTACAGAACACCCAATTCTTCCAGCTAAACACAGCAATGTCATGGCATGAGTATCAACTGTAGTAATATTAAATAATCCAGTGTTCTTTGACTTCTTTCGAGTAGAACATTACACATGTTATATGCTTTCGGGGGTGACAAAAGGAGTCCTGTTGTGTTTTTTAAATGTTATTTTAGAGGGTATTAATGCCTGACCAAGACATCCAACTACAGATATTGTGAACATTTACCGGCAAGGTTTCCTTGATGACATACAGATTGACTCCTATCTTTAATGTTAACAATAAACATCTTGTAATTCTTGTGATATCCTTTTTGACTGTCATAAAACCTTGTTTAGACATCACATGTGAGTCAACTATAGTAAACTTTAGTCGAAATTAAATTCAAGTCTCTAGTGATAGCTGGATGTTATAGTTTAACGCTGGTTACCGCTGCGTACCACTGGTTATCGATTCCTGCTGAGTTTCTGTGACAGTCTCAAAAACAAGATACAAAAGAACCTGTTTGTCAAATAAACTGTCCAGAATGCTTTGACATTTTGTTAAAGCATTGTTAATGCTGAGAATGTGCTTCCCTGGAAGTACAGGGCTAGACCTGCAATCACAGTAATTGCATCAGACATGCAGGGAAGCCCCTGGTTTCCTGACTGGCCAAGAACATGGCCTTTCAGAGTGCTGGTCAGTGGGCTACGGAGATCCAGATATAGGCCAACCACTATTAGCTGCCTTCAGACTGTTCTCGTACAAATGAGGATAATTATAACACAATGTGGGAAAAGGAACACCAATCTTTAGACATAAAAAATAGTTGTTAAACTAAGAAACATTCAAGGTTGAAGGCTGAGTGGCACCGGTAAACAGCTCGGCTGAGATATCAGATTTAATGAAATTAAACTCATGAGCTGTTGGTATTTCAGTGTTGAAAAACAGCATCTACTTTTAATGTTATGTGCCACGGTCACTGCATGGAACACATTTGGTGTCTCTCCTAGGATTTGATCCTGAACATAGCCTCAAGACCACCATCATGGAGAAATGTTTGCCCAGGTTCATGTTCACTGGTGAACAAAATCGAATATTTTTCATGGATCATCTGTTCTCAACAACCCTGAAGCAAAAATAACCAGGCACGAATTCATGCAGTTCTGAAATTGGAACCACACACCAACTGAATAAAATAACTGCTTTTATGGTGAGTGTTGATGCAAACCATCTGGATCTAATGATCTCAAAGTGCACTTGACATGAAGATCAGCAAGTATAGAAAAGAGCCATTTGCTGTAGAAATCCTGCCACCACAAGTTCTACACCAATAATTGACAATGAAACACTCTGGGCGGCATTTCATAGTCTGAAAGGATGTTACATATAGGTTTCAGTTGAATAAAGCAACCATTTTTAGCATGTGTGCTAATGACACTACTCAGGTTGGTTGGAAGCAAAAAAATTCCGGATGCCCTTGGCCAGAGCAGAATAGAGAGCTCCATACCATTATAGCCGCAGCCTTCATTACTGAGGTCATCTGAGGCTTCATAGCGGCCAAACTTGCTGCACCACAGCCAAGACAAATATAAATCAACACCAACATGGAGGACATCTTGGAGGACAATCATAGTTAAGAATATACAATTATGGAACAAGGATAGAAGACAAAACTAGCATTGAGGACAAGCAATGGAACAAGCATGGAGGACAACATTGAGGACGGCTAGATGGAACAAGCATGGAGGACAACATTGAGGACGGCCAGATGGAACAAGCATGGAGGACAACATTGAGGACAACCCCTGGAACAAGCATGGAGGACAACATTGAGGACAACCACTGGAACAAGCATGGAGAACAACATTGAGGACGGCTAGATGGAACAAGCATGGAAGACAACATTGAGCATGGCTAGATGGAACAAGCATGGAGGACAACATTGAGCATGGCTAGATGGAACAAGCATCGAAGACAACATTGAGGATGGCTAGATGGAACAAGCATGGAGGACAACATTGAGGATGACTAGATGGAACAAACATGGAGGACAACATTGAGGATGACTAGATGGAACAAACATGGAGGACAACATTGAGGACGGCTAGATGGAACAAGCATGGATGACAACATTGAGGATGACTAGATGGAACAAACATGGAGGACAACATTGAGGATGACTAGATGGAACAAACATGGAGGACAACATTGAGGACGGCTAGATGGAACAAGCATGGATGACAACATTGAGGATGACTAGATGGAACAAACATGGAGGACAACAATGAGGAAAGCACTGGAACAAGCATGGAGGACAAGTAGGAGATGGATAGATGCAACAAGTAGAGATCACATAAAAAGAACAATTTGAATATAGCCACTGAGGGGAAAGAAAACATAAGGACAACCATTCACTTGGACTACAAAGGACAAACTTGAGGGATAGCAGTTAGGGCAAGTCTGAGGCAACCAATGAAGGGCAGTAATTGTGTGATATGACATGGAGCCATATAGCAAGCAGTTACTCAAATCCATGGACCACTATACAGAAACTTAATTCTCCTGCATCATTTTCACTGACACAAAGTGTCCATAATCTATAAATGCAGTTTCATTTATCTTGGTACAACCATTACACCCCATTAATGTGTCTGGGGGATGGAAGAGAGGTTGTTAGAAAGAAATTAAACCAAACCATTGAAGATTACAAAAACATTCTTTGTATGTGTGCATCCTTGTCTGAAAGGCCCATGGATAAAGGTTTTGTCACAGACATTCTGGAACACATTATCCATAATAGGTATTGTATAATACAAATTAATAGCCAACAATATATACCCTCATGTAACCAAACATGTGATATAATGGCATTATACTCCATCTTTGTGAAGCTGAACTGTACCACTGCGAACACTAGCAAACACTGCACAACAAGCACATGGAACAAACAAGCCATTCACAACTTTCATCACCCACATACCAAATGCTTGCAAGCAATCAGTTTGACCTTAACAATCTTTAGCAGTTGAAAGTTATTGCTGTGCCGTGGGTAGGAATCAGTTTGTGGCTAACCTGTTTCTTTGTCACAAAAATATATTGCTCCTTTCCCCCCAGCCCTCTCCTTCACTGACATTCATAAAGTGTTTGAAGTCAATGTTCACAGTTAAAAAAACCCCAAATTTTGTAATTGTATTCCATTTTCCTAAAAACTCCATATCAGAGGACAAAACCATGAAAACCCCATGAAACTGTCACAGTACTGTAATGGCTTATCAGTCAGTTGTACAGAGCGTGCATTTCATTAATCTCAGGACTGCACTCAAGGAAAACAGGGTCTAGACTATGCCATGTCAACTACCAGCTTTTGTGTGTTACATACTAAAACAAAATGACCTCAGGATTGGCCCTGATATTAAGCTTGCCCCAAGGATGACAACAAACAGACTGGAATGTGTAGTCATCAAATCCATTTCTCAAGCCATCACTGGCCAAGTCAACAAAACAGATCATCTCAATATCATTTTGTCATAAACCATCTAAGGCCCAAGGGAAAACACTACTTTAACCATCCAAGCTTTAGTCAATGCTTCAACTCTGAAATGGTCGTATGCCAGAAAACAGTTAGTAAAATATTGGCACCAAGGGGTTAATCTACCTCCAGTCCATGATACATGGATCTGTCCATTCAATCCTGATATTGGCTTTTACAGAGCTGTCCATTCAAGATGGTGACAAACATCAACATCCTGTTGATGAAGATTGGAAAACGGTGATTAATAGCTTCTTGACCAGTGGACTATAGGGCCTGCCCCCAGGTTCGGGTCTCAATAACAAGGAACACTTCATTGCTTTAAGGGGAAATTGGAGGAAATGGATCTGTTTGACCTTTGAGAATATTTCTTTCAGCTGATGAAATAAATATGAAACATGAAACATCAGGTGGCTCACGCTGAACCAACTTCTTGGGGTGAAACTATACAGCAAGTTCATGATGTGATACGTATCATAATACATAAGTGATGATACAATATGTATCACAAACCTTAGACATTATCTGATACGTTTCGCAATATGTAGGTGATACGTAAGTAAGATATGATATGTATTGCTATATGCATCTTTATATTAAAAATATGGAAGCTTCTTGAGTATTTAATTTCAGAGGTTCTTAGTGAAATGCTAGCTGTGGAGACATATTAATGGTGACTTTTATTATTTGAATACTATTCACAACATATATTTCAATATCTGACAGACTTAAACACTGGAGGATCATAGAAAAATTAGCAAGTAATTTACTTTGCCAGGCTGTATTGTCTTGTATCGATACAGAACAAAACCATCCCCTGTATTGTATCCTCACATGATACCTCAGGATGTGCGGGTGTCTCCCGTCACCAGCTTCAGATGATCCACTCAAGGTGATTTCATTACAAGTCTCATCAACAATATAGCAGCCAGTAACTGTTCAGTCACCAAGATCCTCGAGTTACTCATTCTTTCTAAACCAAATTACACTTGCAGACCATTTTAATGAGAAAGAGTGTTCTAAGAACAATGTATGTCTCGCAGTCAGGTAAGTCCTAGGTAAGGTAATTTGACTGACTGACTGAGTATGGTTTTACGCCGCTTTTAGCAATATTCCAGCAACATCACGGCGGGGGACACCAGAAATGGGCTTCACACATTGTGCCCATGTGGGGATTCGAACCCGGGTCTTCGGCGTGACGACCTAACGCTTTAACCATTAGGCTACCCCACCGC